ATACCATTCTCATCCCAATGGCAATGACTCGATTCTGAATGATAGTATCTCTATAGGGAAGGGTAGAATTGCCCTTCTAGGGTTTTCATGGCTATAAAAATTTAAAGATGCACACGACCACATTATTATCCAGTGGAGTTGCTGGTAAGTTTGAACCACCGAGCTTTTAGTTAGCATCTGAGCACTTAGCCACTGCATCAATAGGGATACACACATTTTAATGAAAATATGGCACATTACTGGAAACCCCTTTGTGAATTGGTTTCCAGTGCTCAGTGTGCAAATGGCATGATTGTGTACATTACTTGTATGCCACATTGTGTGCAAAAAACCCTGGGTATGTTTGGTGAAAGGACACGGCCCTGACACACACCTTCCCTTATTTAAAACCACATATTATCCTTTTCAAATGACTTTCTTGATCTTTATACAGGTTCCCCATGAGCACAATGAAATGTTCTGGAATTCCCCTTCTTTGGCTATTATTCATAATTTCTTGTGGTTCACACTTTTGCATAGTGAAGAAAACACTGGTAAACATATTTCTGGTACTCTTCCTCCAGTCAAGATCCATCTGACACCAGCGATGATATATCTGGTTTTGAGTCCTCTTCTAATGCAGACTTGAATTTCTGGCAGCTCCCTGTGAATGTATGACTGAAACTTGTTTTGAATTATCTTCAGTAAAACCTTACCTGTGTGTTGCTATTAATTATATTGTTCAATCGTTTGCACATTCCATTGGATCACTTTTCTTCAGAATGGACACAACGATCGATCTCTTTTAGACAGTTGACCAGGCAGCTGTCTTCCACATTCCTTGGCATAGATGAGCGAATGCTTCCAGCATTTCCCTCACTGGTCAGAGCATCTCAATTGATTCACTTGTTGAAGCATCTCCATCTCAATTCCAAAGTCTTGATTTTCACGAGTGCCTTCCGTGTGCTTCCTTCGCTATTGTGACTTCTTAACCACTTGCTGCTTCCTCAGCTAGATGATCACTGATTAATTCTGTTTGCACAATGATCCTGTGTGTTCCTTTCATCTTCTTTTGATGATTCCTGTGTCTTGAAATCTTTCCCCACAGAGTCCTTCAATATTATGACTCAAGGGTTGAATTTGTTTTTCAATTTCTTTCAGGTTGAGAAATGCTAAGTGTGTTTCTCCATTTTAGTTTTCTAACTTTAGGTCTTTGCACATCTTATTATAATACTTTTTCACAAATGTTTTGAGAATGATGAGGGAAAAAATATACTTGACACAATGTATATATGTATGGAATGTGATAAGAGTTGTACGAGCCCTCAATAAAATGATTTAAAAATATAATACTTTTTCTTCTGGAGTTGCTACTTGAAATCTTCTGTTCCGCTCCTTTGCTTCATAATTTCTTTAATGCGCAGTAGTACTCTAAGTTGACGAGCTAATTTCAGAGCATCTATTTGCTTCTTTTCTGTTTTAACCTGTCTTTTTAATAACCTTTTGCTTTCTTAGTGTGTGTTGTGCTTGATGTCATTCCACAACTGATCTGGGTCTTGGTCATTAGTATTTAAGGTGTTAAATGTAATCCTTTTTTAAAAAAAAAATTTAAGATCACTTTATTGGGGGCTCTTACAACAATCCATGCATCAATCCATGCTTGTATCAAGCATATAAAATCTTGAGATATTCTCTTAACTTTGGTGATATATACTCAAGATTGCTTTGGATCTCAAGGACTTATTTTAATTTTCTTGTACTTCAACTTGAACTTGAATATGAGCAAATGATAGTTTGTTCCACAGTCAGCACCTGGCCTTATTCTCACTGATGAGACTGAGCTTCTTGCTCATCTCTTTCCACAGGTGTAGTTGATTTGTTTCCTATGTCTTCCATTTGATGACATGCCCATGAATAGTCTCCATTTGTGCTGTTGAAGGAAAGGTATTTGCAAAGAATGAGTTATTGGTCTTATTTTTTAATCATTTTATTGGGGGCTCATACAATGGTCTTACAAATTTTATGATGAGAACTCTTGCATTGTTTCTAGCACCAAAGTCATATTTTCCAACTTTCACATTCCAATCACCAGTAATTATCAATGCATCCAGATTGTATGTTTGGTCAATTTCAGACTGTAGAAGGTGATAGAATTCTTCAATTTCTTTATCACTGGCTTTTTTGATTGTGCATAAATTTGAACAATTAGTCATATTAGCTAATCTTCCTTGTAGGCATATGGACAATATAGGGTAGATATTGAAATGCTCTTTTATAAAGTATATATGACGCTGATGCTCTTGTTGTTCCCAGCATGGTAAACTCACTGCCAGTTAGTTGGTTCTGACTCATAGTGACTTTACAGGAAAGGGTAAAAGTGCCCATGTGGGTTTCTAATACTGTATATCTTTATAGGAGTAGAAAGCCTCATCTTTCTCTGGTAGAGCTGCTGGTGGTTTCAAACTGCTGGCCTCAAGGTTAAGCAGCTTAGTGTACAATTCACAACACCACCAGAATTCGAAAATACCATAGGTGGGTGAGGCACACCTTTGTCCTCAAAGTGATCTTCTTATTCTTAAACCTTTGAAAGGGAACTTGTGCAGATTTACTGTATATACTGGAGTATAAGCTGACCTGACTATCAGCTGAGGCACCTAATTTTACCACAAAAACTGCATAAAAATGTGCTGAGGGCACTCGCTCGCTGCTGATTCCACCCGCTGCCGCTCCTTCAGCCTCCAGGAAGGAACTTGTCACCATGCCCTACCCATACCCAGCGATCACCTCAGAGCAGAAGAAGGAGCTGTCTGACATTGCCCATCGCATTGCGGCTCCTGGCAAGGGCATCCTGGCTGCAGATGAGTCCACCGGAAGCATTGCCAAGCGACTGCAGTCCCTTGGGACCGAGAACACCGAAGAGAACCGCCGCTTCTACCGCCAGCTGCTGCTGACCGCTGACGACCGGGTGAACCCCTGCATTGGGGCGTCATCCTCTTCCAAGAGACTCTCTACCAGAAGGCGGACGACGGGTGCCCCTTTCCCCAAGTTATCAAATCCAAGGGCGGATCGTGGGCATCAAGGTCGACAAGGGTGTGGTGCCCCTGGCAGGAATGAACTGCGAGACCACCACCCAAGGGCTGGACGGGCTGTCTGAGCACTGTTCCCAGTACAAGAAAGATGGCGCTGACTTTGCCAAGTGGCGCTGTGTGCTGAAGATTGGCGAACATACCCCTTCAGCTCTCGCCATCATGGAAAATGCCAACGTGCTGGCCCATTATGCCAGCATCTGCCAGCAGAATGGCATCGTGCCCATTGTGGAGCCCGATACCCTCCCCGATGGCGACCATGACCTGAAGCGCTGCCAGTATGTCACTGAGAAGGTGCTGACTGCCGTCTACAAGGCCCTGAGTGACGACCACGTCTACCTGGAAGGCACTACCTTACTGAAGCCCAATATGGTCACCCCCGGCCATGCCTGCACACAGAAGTTTTCCCATGAGGAGATTGCCATGGCAACTGTCACCACACTGCGCTGCACCGTGCCCCCTGTTAACGGGGTCACCTTCCTGTCTGGAAGCCAGAGCTAGGAGGAGGCGTCCATCAACCTCAACGCCATCAATAAGTTCCCCCTGCTGAAGCCATGGGCCCTGACCTTCTACGGGCAAGCCCTGCAGGCATCTGCCCTGAAGGCCTGGGGTGGCAAGAAGGAGAACCTGAAGGCGGCCCAGGAGGAACATCAAGCGAGCCCTGGCCAACAGCCTCGCCTGCCAAGGAAAGTACGCTCCAAGCGGTCAAGCTGGGGCTGCAGCCAGCGAGTCCCTCTTCGTCTCTAACCACGCCTACTAAATGGAGGTGGTGTGAGGCTGCCCCCTCAACACTCCAGGCCCCCGCCCCCTCCCATGCACACCTCTTGATGGGAGGGCACCACTTGGGCTCCAGGACACGCTTTCCTCTCACTCTTGCCGCCTTTGTGACAGTGGTGTACGGTGTTGTCTGTGTATGCTAACTCCATCACCCTTTCCAGCTCACTGCCAATAAACAACGGTTTAAGGGGGGTGGGGGGATCTGCTGAGAAACTCGGCTTATACACGAGTATATATGGTACCTAATGTAATACATCATTTGATTTCTTGACTGCTGCTTCCATGAGCATTGATTGTGGATCTAGGCAAGATGAAATCCTTGACAACTTCAATCTTTTCTGTTTATCATGATGTTACCTGTCCAGTTGTGAGGGTCTTTTAAAAATATTTTTATTAGTACTTCATCCACCTCATATAATTCAATAATTCAACCATATCAAGAAGAGTTGTACAATTATCACTACATTTGGTTCTAGAACATTTTCTTCTTGTACTCAGTTATCCCTGTAATTTTTTTTCTAATTGTGGCAAAAATATACACAACAAAACATTCTCCAATACTTCTACATGCATAATCCAGTGCCATTGATTATACTCTTTGTGTGATACAACCATCCTTGATAGAGGTGTTTGGTTTCTTTAATTAAGTTGTAGTCCACATTGAAGGCTGCAATCTTTGATTCTCACCAGCAAATGGGTCAAGTCATTGTCATGTTCAACAAGCAAGGTGTGTCATCTGTGTATCCAGGCTGTTAATAAACCATCTTCCAATCTTGATACTGAGTTCTTTTTCATATTGTCCAGGGCCTCTGATTACTTGCTCAACATATTAGATTAGGTTGTATAATCAAAGGACACAATCCCGATGTGAAACCTGCTTTACTGTCAGATACATCCATATTTTCCAGTCACATCTCTGAGAAATATCATTTCCTCTAATTGGAACAGGACTTCAAGGCCCAAATTTGGCCTCAAGATCCCCTCAGATCAAGATGTGTCTTGGCTTGTGCAATCCCTAACCACTAGCACAGTTCCCATGCTCCAGGTCCACATCCTTCACTGTAGGTTTTCAGCTCCAGACACATCAGCACCTGGGTAGTGGTCTGGGATGTATGCCAAAGGACCATACATTCTAGAAGTTTCTCTTTTCCCAGGCACTGTGATCTTGGGGTTGGATGTTTGGAGTCCATGGGGATTATTGGCAGCATGAGCCCTGCCAGGAACTGTGGAGGAGAGCCCTTGGGTAGACATGAAGAAAGAAGCGAGGGCACACATGGTGAGTGGGGCACCAGGAAAGAAGGGAGGGAAGGCCCGTGGGGGACCTGTCTCCCCACAACTGAATAGTTCCATGGGGTGGTTGTGTAACAGAGAGGTAAGTTAAAGAGACATCAGACAAGATAAAGCATGCAAGGGTACCAGAATGAGACTGTACTTTATTGACTTACATACTTATATAATCTCAAGCAAGCAAGCCACGGTAAGCACATAGGACACAGGAAGGGGTTGTACAATAGGCATACATGTAACAGGAAGGGGACAAGCTAGGGATATACATGCAGTAGGAAGGGGTTGTGCTAGGGGGACACATGTGACAGGAAGGCACATACGGACTGACTTTAGATTCAAGTTGGCAGTCTAACTTTGCCTCTGAGCTAGCTTGACCTTAGATGTCTTTGAGCTCTCCTCCAGGGGAACAACCCATTATCTGTATCAGAAGGGAGTGGACTCTATTTAGGTTGGGACAGACAATAGGGTCTGATTGTGCTTACTGGAAACAACCTTCAGGCAGATAGCCTTCAAGCAGATGACCTTCAAGAGTGTAGTAATTGAACATGTATTTACAAACAGCACTTTCAGTTTGGCATTGTTCTTGGGGAACGTCATGGGGAATAACTTTTACTTAAGAGAACGTGAGTGGAATGCATCTCTAACCCACTAACATGAAGATTTCCTCCAGGGAGCCTTGGCTCCCAGACTCCTTAATGTTTGAAGGTTGAGAGTTTGTCTGCAACTCTCTCTTCCGGGTTCTGTTTCCCATGGGGATCAAATGGAGTGCTGGAGGAGTGGTATTTGGGGAGGGGAGGGAAGAGATACAAGGGGATGGCAGGGGGAGGAAAGCGGCAGGAAGGAAGAGGAGGGGCTGTGGGAGAATCAGGACCTTCCCTGTTTCAAAGAGGGAGTGCTGAGTCTGCCCTGTTCCTCAAGTACCACCTCAAAGGAAGGAGGAAGGGGGTGGGGAGCATTGTTCCTAGCTGCTCCCTGCCCAGGTGAAGAAACAGGGAGTCTGGACCTGTGCCAGCACTAGTGAATCATTGGGGTAATTTGTCATTTTTGTAGGCCAAGGATACTTTGAGACACTTCTATATACTTCTCCAAAGAAAGATGGATAGAGATAAGAGAATGGGAGAAACTCTGCTGCAGGAATGTGGAAATAAACTGTGAGGCGAGGGTCACTATAGTTAACAGGAGGTTCGAGGTGTACAGAGTTGGGGGTCCTATCTACCGACAGGCCTCAGTCCCTGCACGCCTGTGACTACCTTCTGTGTGCAAGGAGACCTAGTGGGCAAGCTTGCTCTCCTGTGTTTATGTGAGGCCCTGGCAGCTCGTGCGCCCTCACTGCCCTTCCTTGGTCCTCTCAGTTTCTCTCTCTTGAAGACAGACATTGTGCTTCTTTCCAGCTCTCAAAGTCCCTCACCCAGCTTTCTTATGTTTCTGAAGTCAGGCCATCAAAGACCAGGTAGATAAAATGGAGGATTCAGATGAGGGATCGACACCTCAGCAGCAAGTTGAGGCCAGCAGGATTTCAAGGGGTCAGGTCTTAGCCACTTCTCAGGAGGTAGCAAAAGGTTTGTTCATGCAAAGAACAAGCAAACAAGATCTGTTAAGTTAAACAAGTTAAACAAGCAAACAAGATCTGTAGGGTACAAAGAGTAAGAGGCCATCCACTGAAAGGTTTAAAATGTATAATAGTCTGTGTTATTTGTAGCTACCTTGATTGCTAGAGTAGCCAGCCTCTGACAATATCACGGGGTCCATAGGAGCAATTGTATGGTGATAATATAGAAAGATTATAGTAAAGTCATAGAGAATAAGAGAGATAGGAGAGAAGGTAAAATAAAGGTGAAATAAAGGTAGCATGCCCTAGTGAATGATGGGGGGAGTGCGGAGTGGAGGCCCAAAGCCCATTAGTAGGCCACTGGAGATCCCCTTGCAGAGTGGTCTCAGGGAGGAGATGGGCCAGTCAGGGTGCCATGTAGCAACGATGAAAAATACAACTTTCCTCTAATTCCTAAATGCTTCCTCCGCCCCCCCCCCACTATCATGATCCGAATTCTACCTTGCAAGTCTGGCTAGACCAGAGGATGTACACTGGTACAGATAGGAACTGGAAACACAGGGAATCCAGGGCGGATGATCCCTTCAGGACCAGTGGTGTGAGTGGCAATACTGGGAGGGTAGAGGGAGAGTGGGTTGGAAAGAGGGAACCGATGACAAGGATCTACATGTGACCTCCTCCCTGGGGGACGGACGACTGAAAAGTAAGTGAAGGGAGATGTCGGACAGGGCAAGATATGACAAAATAATTTATAAATTATCAAGGGCTCATGAGGGAGGGGGGGGCGAAATGAGGACCTGATGCCAGGGGCTTAAGTGGAGAGCAAATGTTTTGAGAATGATGAGGACAATGAATGTACAAATGTGTTTTACACAATTAATGTATGTATGGATTGTGATAAAAGTTGTATGAGTCCCTAATAATGATTAAAAAAAAAGGTACCGTGCTCACCTCATCCCCTCTTGACAGTGGGAGACGGCAGGAGGAGAGAGAGAATATATTTCTGATCAAGGCTTATATATCCTTAGGGGCGTGAAAGCCCCCCTGATTACAGGTAACCACATATGTCACAGGAAGGGGTTGCATCATAGACAATACAGCAATGGGAGGAGGACCCTCCAGAGGTGTACATGCAATAGGAAGAGGAGGGATAAGGGGTATATATGTGACAAGGTGGGTGGATCCTAGATTCAGGATGGCAGCCTAACCTTGGTTGTCCTTGAGCTGGTTTGATTTATTCTCTGGGCTCTCCATGGAAACAATCACTATCCTTATCAGTAGGGTGTGAGCCCCACCTATAGTGCAACAGACTATATAGTCTGGTTGCTCTGGATGGCTGATGCCTTCAGGGAGGTAACTTCTACGCAGCTTGCTTCCTAGTGTGCTACAATCATTTACCATGTGTTGCAAGCAGTGTTCTAGGTCTGTTAGATATTGGGGTGAGACAACCTGGGGAAAAGCCTTTTTGTATCCCACACTTAAATAGGTAAAAATCTGTGAAGGAAGACCAAATTCAGAATAATGGTCATCACTAGAAAAGGAGGAAGCGAGACTTATTAACTGTGGCTGGGTTAGTTTTGTGGTTTTCAAAGGACAAATAAAAAGATCTGGAGCAGTCGTTAGGGAATAGTGAGGTCTCACTGAAAAGTAGTTGGTGTACAGTTCTTTGCAGTATAATTCTTTATATTCTACTTTATGGTTAAAAATGGTTGTTTTTAAAAAGAAGATTGCTTTTGCTAACCAAAGGACAATTATGGAAACTAATTAAACTGTAAAACTGTTTTATGACTTGGACTGCAGTCAACAGTTCAAAACCACCAGCTGCTTCTTGGGAGAAAGACAACAAATAGGCTTTCTACTCCTATAAACAGTTATAATTGGAAAAACTCACAGGAGCAGTTCTATCCTGTGGTTTGCAATGATAATTTTATAAAGGCTCATAGTTACTGGATTAAACGTCTTACAAGAGAAAATTATAAACCAATGTAAAAATAGATGCTTGATAGAGGGGCAGCGAGAAAGAGAAAAAAAGATCTTCAAAAAGATAGATTGACAACAATGGACACGCACCTAACGATTGTGAGGATGGTGCAGGATTGAATAGTGTTGCGTTCGTTGTACATCAGATTGCTTTGAGTCAGAACTGACTAGATGGCACCTAACAGAAAAGATACACACTTCATTTAGTATATGTATTTAATCACATCTCATGGTCCTCTTCCTCAAATGGAGCCTTGGGAGAGAGTTTGAGATCTCCCTGTGCGCTCCCACATGCACAGACGAGGGACAGCCTCAGGTAACTAAAATGACACATTGTCTTCATAAACTAGAATTGAGACTCTCATTTCATCTTCTGCCTCGCAGACAAGAGAATTTATAGAATGACGATCAGCCCGGCTAAATGGGAAAGATCAATTTGGTTTCAGTCACTATAATTTTCACCTGTGGGCTCCAGATAGTTTAAGTTCAGGGCATTAACCCAAAGCTTGCTTGTCCATTGTATGATACTATATTCTATCAGTGCGTAATAGCATCATGAATTATTTTTTAACATTTTATGGAGGGGAAAAGTTTTGAAATATTATGAGATGTCTAAAATGTGACTCAGAAAGACACCCAGTAAGCACCTAGGTTTGGGGAAATGGTGTCAATGGCCTTGCACAACACAGGGTGCCCACAGATGTGCAGAAAATTTACGCTCTGTGAAGCAAAATGAAATGGAATAAAAAAGGCATGTCTGCATGAGTGAGGCTTTAGCTCCATAACATGAACCAGAGATAAGAATGAAGCCATTTTAAGAAACCCATTAGGCATTGAGTAGTGACACAGCAGAAGCCATTTAAAAAAAATCATTTTATTAGGGGCTCATACAACTCATCACAATTCATACACATTTCTATTGTGTAAAGCGCATTTGTACATTCATTGCCCTCATCATTCTCAAAACATTTACTCTCCACTTAAACCCCCGGCATTAGGTCCTCAAGCAGAAGCCATTTTTAAATCAGCTCTGGATAATTCTGGGACTGTCAGACTCTCTGGTTCCTAATTCTCTGTTCTTTTGTGAGAAGTTCCAAAGTTGAGAACCATTCACCAAGCAAAACAAATACTGATTTTAGTATTTTAATTTGAATCCAATCACATTTTTAATGAAAGAATTAATGTTATTTTTAAAAATTAGTTTTACTGAGCTGTAATTAACACTTCAATCATACAATTTAATAGTTCAATCATATTAAGAAGGGTTGTGCAGTCATCACCACAATCAACTTTGGAACATTATTCCTTCTTGTAACCATTGGTGTTGACTTCCCATTCCTCCCGCCGCCCCCCCC